ACGCCAAAGAGGAGAGAGAAGGGACGAAGAAGAGGGAAGGAATCATAGCCGTGGTGGAGGAGGAAGGAGAGACAAAGAAGGGAGAAAGAGAAACTATACCCGGGGGTGAAGAAGATAGAGACGAGGGATGAGAAAGAAGCCATAGCCGAGGGTGAAGGAGGAGGAAGAAGAAGGAAGGCAAAGGGAAGTGGAAGAGAGAGGGTTGGCAGCCATAGCCAACGTTGACCAGCTGATTATCAACGTTGACCAGGTGGTTTTCCAACGTTGACCGGGGTGTATGCTGGCGTTGACCAAAGTGTTGACCAGCATTGACCAAGGAGTTGACCGGGATGTTGACTGGCGTTGACTGAGGTGTTGACCAGAGCGTTGACCGGAGTTGTTGACCACGAAGTTTGACCAAGCTGGAGTTGGTATACTCTCGCCAAGCCTTCAGCCTATCCCCTCACCCTATGGATGCACACATACCCCATGGTACTTGCTGAGTCAGTCTCTCTTCTTTCTGCATTGAGTCTCTTCTGTCGAGGTGATAGGAACTCTGTGTATGAGGTCATAGAGTTGCGTTGACGAAGCCCACACGGGCTGAGTAGGGGTAAAGGCCGTGTCTGACGATTGACTGACCCGAGGACAAACCCTCCAGAGGACCGGTACAAACCGGTGGGCTGCTCAGTGTAGCATGATAGGCCCAAAATCAGAGTTGTGGGCTGCACAACCAGCTGTCTACGTCTTGAGAGGACTTGCTGATCGCGTCGTCCTGTTTGTGACGTTAAATAATTCCTAAGGAGTTACGGGGGATTTCCTTAAATGTCTCTTGATCAGCAGTAAGTCCTGTAGTGACAGCTTAGAAGTAGAGTCAGGCTAGAGACCATAGTTGACAGGGTCCTCCACGGATTTTGTGGTCCTTAGTGAGTCCGTCATCAAGTTATCTTAGTCAGGGGGTGAGAGTCTAAGTGGTGAGGAGTGGAACTGCCACCCGGTTGTACATCTATCACCATGGTGGACACGCGTAGCGGTACGAGCACCACCCCATTTACGAAAGAGCAGGAAGAGAGTGTTGCCGCCATATTGAAAGAAAGAAAGGAGAAGAAGGAGGCCAAGAAGCAGACGTTGTTGGAAGTGTAGGCGACGAAGAAGAAGAAGCTTGAAGAATAAATGGAGAAATTGAAAAGACAAGAGGAGGAGAAACTTAAAGAAGTAGAAGAAGAAGATGATGATGAAGAAGAAGAAGAAGAAGAAGAAGAAGAAGAAGAAGAAGAAGAGATACCCTTGGTGAGGACTGTGAGGAGAGAGGAAAGGGGGGAATCCAGTGGGGTTAGTTAAGTTGCGAATAAAGTGGAGAAGATGGTGTCGAAATGGGTGGCTAAATTGTCCCTGGGGGAAGATGAAGAAGCGTTGATGTACATCCCCGTGGACGAGAGGGATGTTGTTGTGGCAGAGATAAAGGCACTGACAGACCCGTTAGAGCAGCAGACCCTGGAAGAGGAGAAAAGAATGGAGTGGAAATTGCGACTGAGGAGGAAGAGAAGGAGGCGCATAGCGGCGGCCACTGAGTTAGAGAAGGAATTGGTTGTAGCAGCAGAACAACATACTACTGCGCTAGCACAAGGGGACTTGCAGAGCAAGGTGGATGCGATCGCAAGAAGCATAGATGTATTGATTCGCGTCCAACAAGAGTAGATGCATACCTCAAGGGGCCATGACATAGCCCTACGGTCCATCCGAGTAGGCTTTAGAGACTTCGCCCACGATATGATGATGCGGATGGGCTCTGAGATGCAGGCCCGTATGAAGAACACAGAACAATTATGTGTTGGCACCATAGAGCGCGCCAAGCTTGCAGTCCCAAAGGAGGAGGAGGCACACCCGCGTAGGGAACGAGTCAAAGTGAAGTTCCCTGACGCCTACGGAGGGAAACAGGGGGAAGACTTTGACAATTGGGAGGCCAACATCAATTCCTACATGCACCTCCAGGATATTATCCCTGAGGAGCAGGTCGTCGTCGCGTTCCATGCCCTTACAGACAAAGCGTCTAGCTTCGCCAGGTCGTTAGCCCGCGCCGCCAAATGTGACAATGATATGGTGTCATATTCCACCACCACTCCCCTCAATGAATTCCTAAAGTTACTTCGCAAACGTTTCGCAGATGTAACTAAGGGAATCAAGGCCTCAGACAAGCTTCAGACGATCCACACACGTCAGTGGAAGAGTGCAAGGATGCTCAAGGGAGCTATGGATGAGCTTGTTGTGGTTCCAAACCATGGGGTCACTAAGCCACAATTGGTTCAGTTATTCTTTTGGGCGATGCCTGAAAGTTTGCACATGCACTTCTATGACAAGTCACGAGAACAAGGGATGACTTATGATAGATTGAGTCGCGACGTCGTTGCCTACGAGGCCCAGTCCACGCCAGTCATTGCCTTTTGGCACAGAGATTTTGACAAGGGTAAGAAGTGGAAGGGCCGAACCATTTTAGGGCAGGTTAAGGGGAAAGACAGCCTGATCCTGACATTGGATGAAGGAGGAATGGAGGAGGTCCCGTATAGTGAGATTGAGTGGGGCCTCGAGGAGGAAGACAGGAGTGTAGGTCAGGGGAGGTCCTATGCTGCTGTTGCGGCTGGAGGGAGGCCGCAAGGAAGAGGAGGAGGCCAGGGCCAAGGGGGCCGGGCCTCAGGTGGTCGAGGACAGGATGATCAGGGGGTTGGCGGCAGGGGAAACCGCCAAGAGGGAGGCAGGGGTCAAGGTCCCCCGCAAAACCGTCCACGTTCCAATCGGTCACCTCCCAGGAGGGGTAGATGGCACCCTGGCTTGCCACAGGGCAGGCCTTCAGAAGATTTGGGCCTTGAACAGAAAGTCTGGCAGAGAAGGATAGACCAGGATCAGTGCATTTATTGTGGTGATCCAGGTCATATTATTAAATACTGCCCCAAGTACAGAGAGGCCTGGTTTGCTGCACAGGCAGCAAAAAGCAACCGCCGGTAGGGGTCGCAACTGCACTTACCCCTAGACCATGTGAAGAAGAGTGCGCACACCATAGAGAAACTCCCAATCCACATGTGTCTATGGCAGAGGTTGCTGGCCAGTGCCTAAAAAGTTGTCCAGCGACGGCTTGCATTAGGGACTCTCTAGGCACTTCCCTCACATGCGTGGCAGAAGAATTGAAGGAGAGAATGCCTGTCTGAGCCAATATGAAGAAGGATGGAAAAGGACAGCCTGTATTGGTAGATGTAGAGATTTTTAGAGGCAGAGTAGGGGCCCTTATAGACAGTGGGGCCACCTGTAGCTATATTAGTCGCAAAGCGCTACAAAAGCTGAAGTTGAATCTAAAAGTCTGAAAGCTAGAAGAACCTATAGTCAGCATCCTCGCAGACAATCGCACGATGCGAGTTGAGGATTATGTCGAGGGAGTCCAGGCTTATTTACGCCTAGAGAAAGATGGGAAGGTAGAGAGAGTTATCCATTCCCTGTCTCTCAAAGTAGAAGACAACCTCCCATTTGATATAGTCCTAGGAATGGAATGGGGAGAGGCAGCAGGGGCCCACATTCCACTTGAGAGAGCATGAGTGTAGGCTCCCTAGCCCGTCAGGTGGAGTTAAGACTACTCGCCTGTTTCATGTGTCAAGGGTAGACAACCCCTTAGCACATTGTTGTCTCAGCGCTTCTGCATTCGCAAGATTAGTAAAGAAGGAGCAGTTGGAATAACATGTCTTCGTTGCCTATGTTAAGCCAGTCATTGAGCCTAAGTCCGAAAAGCCCATAGACCCTCGTATTGCCAAGTTGCTGGAGGAATATGGAGATCTGTCTGAGTCGCCTACAGGGGTAGTATCGCGGCCGATCCAACATCGAATTGAGATAGAGCCTGGCAGTAGAACTCCCAAAGAAGCTGTGTATAGAATGTCCCCAAGGGAGTTAGAGGAGCTGCGGAGGCAGTTAGACGAGCTCCTCAAGAAGGGTTGGATTAGCCCCAGTTCATCTCCATTTGGAGCACCTATTTTATTTGTCCCCAAAAAGGAGGGAGAACTGAGAATGTGTATAGACTATAGGGGTCTCAACGCCATCACAGTGAAGAATGCAAAACCACTGCCCCGAATAGATGATTTGTTGGATCGGGTGCAGGGCTGCAGATACTTCTCTAAAATAGATTTGAAGTCAAGCTATCATCAGATAGAGGTCCATCCTAATGATCATCACAAGATGGCGTTCAAGACCAGATACGGGCACTATGAGTTTATAGTGATGCCCTTTGGACTAACCAACGCGCCAATTACGTTTTAGCGCTGTATGAATGACTTGTTCAGGCCGTTGTTAGATAGATTTGTAGTTGTCTATCTAGATGACATCTTAGTATTTAGTAAGACCCTCCAGGAGCATGAGGGCCATCTAGGGCAGGTCTTGGGGAAGCTGAGAGAAGCTAACTAAGATAGCAATGATTAGAGATTGGCCGACTCCCCACACGCTGGCAGAGTTGCGGTCATTCTTAGGATTGGCCAATTACTATAGAAAGTTCGTCAGGAACTTCTCCACCATCGCTGCTCCCCTCCACAAGTTGCTGAAGAAAGAGGCAATCAGGAAATGAGATAAAAACTGTACGTCGACCCTGAAGAAGTTAAAGCAGGCCTTAATAGTGATCTTGTCCTTAAGGTAGCCGATCCATCATTGCCATTCGTCGTCACCACTGATGCAAGTTAATATGGCATAGGTGTTGTTCTACAGCAAGACTATGGTAATGGATACAGACCCATAGAGTTCATGTTTGCTAGAATGCCTTCAGAGAAAGTAGCGACATCCACCTACGAGAGGGAACTCTACGCTCTCAGGCAAGCGTTAGAACATTGGAAGCACTACTTGCTTGGGAAGCACTTCAAAGTGTATTCAGATCACGAGACGCTAAGGTGGTTGAAAAGCAGGCCAAGATGACAACAAAGCTAACTAGGTGGGCCGCAGAGATATATCAATATGACTTTGAGCTCAATCCAGTCAAGGGAAAATACAACGTAGTTGTGGACGCCCTGAGTAGGAGATCAGACTACTTTGGAGGGACATTTCGGTTGGCAGAAGACATTAGCCAACCTCATGCGCGCGTATACCTAGCCCTGGTATGAAGGCCGACTGCATAGAATACGTACGCAATTGCAAAGTCTGTCAAAGGAATAAGACTACCACGCAAGCCCCTCTTGGTCTTCTCAGACCCTTGCCTATCCCCGAAGGACCCGGAGATTCAGTGTTTGTAGACTTCATGGACGCTGGTGTTAAGAGTAGACATAGCAAGAACCAAGTCATGGTCGTAGTAGATAGGTTTAGCAAGTATGCAATTTTTGTCCCTTTGCCCTCTGAGGTACGCACATAATTAGTAATACAGAAGCTTTTCGACCATTGGGTCAGTGAACATGGGCTACCGTTGTCTATAGTTAGCGACAGGGACACCCGGTTCACTAGTCAGAACTGGCAGGAATTAATGAAAGTCTACAGATCTAACTTTTTAATGTCATGTGGTCGTCATCCAGCGACCAACGGCCAAACTGAGCAGATGAACAAGGTCCTGCAGCAAGTTCTGAGAATGTACATTAGACCCGACCAACTAGGATGAGATGCTCCCAAAGGTAGCCAGTGCTTACAACAATAGAGCGCACTTAGCCACTTGTCGCACTCCAAACGAGCTACATAAGTCTTTTAAACCACGCAAACCGTTTAAAGGACTTAACAGGGATCGGATTCAGAGGCTACCGCCCGGTACCTGGGGATTTGCGATACAACACGAGAAAGAAATTGCTACAGTAGTTGAGAACCTCAGGAAGGCCCAACATAGGATGATAGAACAAGCCAACAAACACCGCCGCCCTTCACAGTTCCAAGTAGGCGACCTAGTCTGGGTCAAGTCAAAAGAGTTTGTTCCTGAGGAGAACATCTCGCAGAAGCTGCTACCTGCTTATAGAGAACCGTGGCCAGTCCTAGAAGTCAAGGGCGAAGAGGATGGACCATCCTACACGATAGAGATTCCAACACACCTCCACACCTACCCAATTTTCCATGCATCAAAGTTGTTGCCTTGTACTACGAGTCAACAGTTTCCATCACGAAGGTCTATGATTCCTCCGGATATGGATGGAAGGTACGACATTGATGGCATAGTAGGTGAGGATGTCTTCAGAACAGGAGGTAGAGGTCGTCCACAGAAACAATACAAAGTCAGATTCTCTTATCCAGAACCTGAAGATGACCGCTGGTTCACCAGAGCAGAACTTCTAGAGACAACTCCCAATATAGTCCGAGCCTATGAGAGAGATAAGAAGGGTAAAGGTCCTGCCTTAAACTGAAGTATTCTCGGAGGACCTCGAATTTAGGCGAGCGGGAGTCAAACGGTTTTCACCTTTGCAGAAGCAGATGCAGATCCCAGGGTTCGATCCCTAGACCTTACCTGCACCCGTGTACAATATCGAGTAGACCCCTGTGTGTTTTGAGCCCGCAACCGCTGTTTTAGTAGTGATTGTTCTTTGTTGTAGGTCCCTGTAGCTGTTAGAGATTCGATCTGTAGATCTGTCAAGTAGAGGGGTTACAATTGTGTAGAGGTCGAAACTGCTAGGCTAAAGGTTTGTAGGCAAGACGTAAGTCCAACTGCGTCGAGTCGACAGTGCAACCCCATGCAGTCAGTGGTACCGGTCCCAGTCACACTCGGTCCAGTCAAGCAAGTACCATATGAGACTGTGTGCACCAAGGGCCTGGTGGAAAGGGGCAGACCAGCAGCAAACAAAAGTATAAATCAAGAGGCTACGTCCAACAATTCATTCATTCTGTCGCGAACCAAGCAAAAGCGCTACCAGTGCGTCTTGTGCGAGGTGGTCCGCAGATGCCCGAAGCTGAAGTGGGCTGCGAGAGAGATAGAGCAGCCATAGCTGCTAGTAGTGCTAGGGTTAGCGAGCAACCATAGTTGCGTCAGGTTAGAGTAGTCTTCAGGGTGTGTATATATGAGTGTGCAGTGAGAGTGAATGTGCGTGGGATATCCAGGGAGATCCAATGAAGTGTGCGTGTGGACAAGTTGAGAGGATACGGTGTTGCGAGGGGTGATGTAAGGGCGCACATGCGCCATAGTTGCTTGAAGCGAGCTTGTATCTGAACTGTGTTCTCATCTATAATATCTCTGAGCTTTGTGTGGGCGCCTGGCGCTAGAGTGATTTGCCATTTGTTTACATGCATGCGAAGTAAGAAGAAAGTGAGTCTGATTGCAACCCCCTCTTTTTCTATATTACTAGAAGAAACAATTGCAATGAACCCAATCAGGAGAGAAGCTCGTCAATGGCAAAATACAGTATGTCTCAGTGCAGTCTCAATGTCTCCAAATAATCGTATAGTGCTAATACATCATCAAGTAGCCCAATGTCTGGTCACCAGAGAAGAAGACGAAGGGAGGGGACGAGGACGAGAGGGTGGAAGAGAAAGTATCCATCATCGTAGAAGATAGAACTCCCCTCAGTTTCTCTGTTCTTCTTCGGGCATCTCCCCTCGCCACATCAACAAACAGTCTCTTCTGGCTCAATCTGACAAAGAGCAGATCTCATTGTAGTGCTTGCCAGCGCAGATACCTCGAGAGAAGCTTGTCAATGGAAAAATACACAAATCCCCACGATGTCTCAGTGCAATCTCAATGTCTCCAAATAATCGTATACATCATCAAGTAGCCCAATGTCTGATCACCAGAGAAGAAGACGAAGGGGTGATGAGACTGAGAGGGTGGACGAGAAACTATCC